TTTTCCCATGTTTAAAAGTGTATTTTCTTATGTTGAAAATTATTTTTCCTATGTTTAAAAGTATTTTTCCTATGTTTAAAAGTGTTTTCCTGTGTTAAAAAGTGTTTAATAATTCCTAGACGTTTTCCTGCAGACAGAAAATGATCCTATGGTTGCCGTTTTGAATCGGAAAACTCAAACCTTGACGTGATATATTCACAAAAAAAACTTTTAAAAATATGACTCAAATAAGTTCGTAGTAAGATTTCGATTCTACTGGAGACCACCGGAGGGATTTTATTTTCACTGGAGTGGTTTCAAAAAATGCCTTTTACAATTAAAAACTTTACGTAGGGCGATTTACATTCCACTGGAGGGATTCATATGTCCTTCCTGGGGGGTTATAATTCCACTGGAGGGATTCAGTTATCCTTCCTAGGGGTTTATAATTCCACTGGAGGGATTCAGATATCCTTCCTTGATTGAGATTTCCTTCTTATGGGTTTATAATTCCACTGGAGGGATTCAGATATCCTTTCTAGGGGTGTATAATTCCACTGGGATGTAGATATTTTTTTTTCAGGGGGTTTATCATTCTTGTTAACCTTCCATACTTTTCATCCGTCTTTCCTTTTAGTTTATACTCATCCTGTTTTTTTCATTCTGTTCAGCCTGGATATCTGAATCCCTCCAGTGGAATTATAAACCCCTTGGAAGGATATCTGAATCCCTCCAGTGGAATTATAAACCCCTTGGAAGGATAACTGAATCCCTCCAGTGGAATTATAAACCCCTTGGAAGGATAACTGAATCCCTCCAGGAAGGACATCTGAATCCCTCCAGTGGAATGTAAATCACCCTGCGTAAAGTTTTGAATTATAAAAAGCATTTTTTCAAACCCCTCCAGTGAAAATTAATTCCCCCCGGTAGTCTCCAGTGGAGTCAAAATCTTACTACGAACTTCCGTGCAGTCCCTATATGGAAGAATGGAATATTCCTCTTAATCTTTATTTCATGCATATATATATATATCACTTTAAAATCTACTCTAGGGAATACAATTGATTTAACATGACTTTAGAATTTGAACTACAAAACTTTAAACGGCAAAACTTTAAACGTATGTTTTAATGATTATGAATAAAATTAGAAAACTTATTTATGTTTCTGTTACTAATAATTATATTGGTGTCTTAAACATTGTGTGATCTTTGATGGAACTTAATTGGAGAAAATAAAAATAATAATTTTTTTTTGCAAAAGCAGAGACTTGGAGATTAACAGGAAAAGTTTGTACACAGAAAACAATCATTAAACATAGATAGATAGATAGATAGATAGATAGATAGATAGAGATAGATAGATAGGTAGATAGATAGATAGATACAAAGATATATATATATATATAGATAGATAGATAGATAGATAGATAGATAGATAGATAGATAGATAGATAGATAGATAGATAGATAGATAGATAGATAGATAGATAGATAGTTAAACATACTTAAAAGAGGAAAAATTGAAAATCATCCAGGTATGACACAAACACACACAAATCAGACACAGGCATACGTATGTACGTGGATCAGAATTTATTCCGGTAAACCTTAGTTTAAACTCACTCAGTGAATAAAGAACCGTGGTTATAATTTACAGTTTATATTGTTTACATATGCTAAACTAACCAGAGATTAACATGTCCGGACCTTATTCAATTCAAGGGTGTAATGCAAGGAAAGTTAATTGCAGTCGTGTATACTCTGCGTACACATTGAAACCAGTTCTCTTTGGGCGGAATTTGTAAACAAGAATAGATGCATCAGTGTTCGTTTAGTATCCGAGGAGGTTAAAAGCATTAAATTTTGATAATTTTGATAATATTTTCCTATGACCAGAATATTTCATTGATTTTTTTATGTGAAGATGGATCCTATGTCAGGCTTTTACATCCTTCTTGTGTTTACATTACTGCCCAGAAACAGCACACTGCAGTACAAAAGATGTGTACACTTCTGAAATAACTTTCCTTGCATTACAACCTTGATTCAATTCATCAATGTTTTTTTTTCAGCCAGGACTAGGTGAAAGAGACTACCTATCTACTTTCAATTGACCCCTAGTTACTTTAAAGGGTATCATTCATGATTCAAATGTTCAACCTCCACGCACCTCTGCTTCTTTAGTAAAAGTAAATTCAACCTATATGAAGCATAAAGTCTGACCGCGTCAACCTTGTTGCACTGGCTAGTCCTGTCCATAGAGCTAGGTACATTACAAAATGGGACTGGAAAGGTTGACCAGGCTTGGAAATTCAAATATACTAATGCTGCCCGTGCCTCAGTAATAATGAGTACGGTAGCGACGGTTTTAAAAAAGAGATTGACTCTGTCAAAGTTATTTTCCTGCTGCAACAATCTACAAATCACGTTCATCGAAGAAACGCAATCGATTAAATTAATTTTCAGAGAGAAACACAATAATATATATATTAATATAAAGATTTATTCACACACAAAGATATACATACATATATAAATGGTGTAGTTTATATTAGTTTAGATATTTTGAATATGTAGTTTTACAAAAGAAAAACAAATATGCAAATTATGCACAAATAGGTGGCATTGATCAAAATATTTCATTTGTTTCTTAACTAACATTTTACTACGATCAGATAGATTTACAAAACAATTATTTGCAATGGAAAACAAATTTTTGCCAAGAACTTTTGCTTTAATTAGAAATAAATCTAATGCAAAGCTTAGAACTTGCTTCAATAGTCTCAAGGAAAGATACACATCTGCTAGCTAATATAGTTTTTACATGTAAACATTGTGAAATACTTTCAATCAAGTACCTATGCGTATCTCTAGGTACATTAAAAATAATACTTATAGAAGTATTCCATGCTGTATACATTTTTGATACACATTGGGAACCCAAGTCCCAAATACTGGATTCATAAAAACTACAACAATAAATATTGTACAGTTATACATGGCTTTTGTTTGCGTAAAAATAAGTCGACAGACCCTTTAAAGGGAGTGACCGGCAATGTATGGTAGTTGAACTAAGAATGTAGTATTGTGGAAAGTTTTAGAATTCATTTGAGACGTTAAAACGTTTTAATGATGTATAATTACTGAGTTTGAGCGCAAAGTCGACGTTGAAAATTTGATTGTCAAAAATTCTACAGTTAATATATGAATTGAAATTTTCTCAATAAATCAATGTTAGAATCAATTATTTCTTTTTCATCATTTTATTGTATTTCTTATTCGAGGTATGAATTTGTTCGCAGATATCTTCAAATTCTTCAAATGTTGTCTTTTCAATAAAAATTCCAGGAAATCTACAGAAAATATTTGTGAACAATGAGACATTACATAAACCAATAATTGAATAAGATTACTTATTTTCGATGATAATAGCTAATTTTTATTTTCTCAACCTGTTCATAAACAACTAATGAGTTTACTGTAAAATTTTTACTACACTTTTGTCGTCGTTATTGAATGATTTTTTAAACACCGATTCTCAAAATCATCCCTCAAAACGAACAATCTATGAGGATTTTAAAGATTGAATTTGCACTCTAGCGGAACAAATATGCACCGTAAAAACGTCTGATAGGTCTCAAATGATTCCTAAAAAATTCTCCACAATACTACATTCTCAGTTCAACTATAACACTACCATACATTGCCGGTCACTCCATTTCATCAAGGATTCTTATATGAATAAGATTAAATACAGGCACATATACATGCATGATGAATATTTCAGAAATGTACAATTATGTTATATTTGGTTTGTGTACAGCTTTTGCAGGAGTTTGGGCGCAAACAAATGATTTCTGCTCAACAAAAAGTTTCATGGGTCAGTAATTTTTAGATCGATACTTTATTTATAATTAATATTTTTAGATTAATAATTTATTAGGGGGGGGGGATGCGGGCTTCCTTTACTTTTTTCTTCCCTATTCTCCAAAAGATAAAATGTGCTGTTGTATTTCAGGAGAGTTTGGAATCAATGGAATCTCTAAAAAAACAGAATCCAAGGAAGACGACTTTGAAAATATTACAAACAGTTTAAAAAACATATTTTTCACCAAATTACATAAAACGCAGATTAAAATTAAAATTTTAAGAATGAAAATTAACTTAAGACACTGCAGAAATTATTAATCTTTAATAAAGAACCAAAGACGATATTTGTTAAACAGTGAGATATTAGAAAACCTAAATAGTTTGCTGCAAACATACTCTACATCCTCCCTTCCTAGCAGGTATAGGGTGTCCCAATAAACATACTCTACATCCTCCCCTCTTAGCAGGTTCAGACTGTCCCAATAAACACACTCTATATCCTCCCCTCCTAGCAGATATAGGGTGTATCAATAAACATACTTTACATCCTCCCCTCCAGCAGGTACAGGGTGTCCCAATAAACATATTCTCCATTCTCCCCTCCTCCCTGTATATAGGGTGTCCCAATAAACATATTCTCCATTCTCCCCTCCTCCCTGTATACAGGGTGCCCCAATATACATACTCTCCATCCTCCCCTCCTCCCTGTATACAGGGCGTCCCCTCCTCCCTGTATACAGGGTGTCCCCTCCTCCCTGTATACAGGGTGTCCCCTCCTCCCTGTAAACAGGGTGTCCCCTCCTCCCTGAGGTCTGATTAAAAAAGTCTCACTAAATTCCTCTATTTTTTGCGACTTTATATATATTATAGTTTTGTAAAGATCCATTACATTTATTTAACGAATTAAAAAACAATATTTAATAAAAGAAATTTAGATTACTGCTTTTGAAGCTGAAACTGTACAAGATTCTATACGAGAACCTCAGGGAAAATAGAATTAGAGCTTGATATTTTTATTTATTCATTACATACTCTATAGTTGAAGTTTAGCATGGTTAAAGAGATTGAGACAAAGACGACATTTTAAAAACATACTTGGGCTGCATAATCAGATTTATTCATAAGTTCAGAAAATGTTTATTATTGTAAATGAAAATTTTCTATTTTAGTGAAAACAGGTAAAACAAACTTTAAATTAAATATTTTTTGTAAAAATTGTCGGATAATATTGGTGAATATAAAATGTTGAATAGCCGGGCTGTTGGTAAGATTGAATACTTGAAACCTATAATCTTGATCTCCTCAACCCTACTCACATCCTCAGCAGTACCATCACAGGTTTATATATCATGGTATTTTTATCAAATATTCATAATTCAAACTTTAAAACCTAAAATTTTAAGTTTCACTTTTGCAAAATTTCACTTATATATATTGGATTTGAATAAATTAAAATGTTTTCTTATGGTTTTTAAATATTCACAATTTTACACTTGGGGATTTTGTTGTAGGTTACCAAATATTCAAAATCTCCTTATTCGAAGCTATATTAGCCTAATATTTATTTAGCATGATTTTTTTTTTAATTAGAATAAATTATGATTTGATATTAAAATTCAATTTTAATCAAGTTTTAAAATTGATTATTAAAAATCAAAAGTTTTTCCTTTCGGACTGTGAAATACTAGAAATGTGATGATCATTTTTAGAATTAACAAGCTTTTTTCTGATTACTACTTTACAAGCAATAAAAGAGAAGCTTTTTAAATTGACAGCTTCTCTCTGGTTCCATGTTTATCTCTATCCTTGCTGTTTAAAAGCGTGATATAAATCAAAATTAAATTCTAAAATTGTCTTTATTGAATTGATATACACGACGACCACTGTACCAAAACGTCCAGCTTGTCCAAAAAGTATGTCCAAAAAGTATGTCCAAAAAGTATGTCCAAAAAGTATGTCCAAAAAGTATGTCCAAAAAGTATGTCCAAAAAGTATGTCCAACATGACTGATTTCATGAATTTGATTGATTTCAGATAGAAAAGAATCCATCTAGTTTTCATCTTGTTTTTTTGGGGGAAAATTGTCATTTGATCATACATACATACATACATACATACATACATACATACATACATACATACATACAGTTATGCATTATTCAAGTTGTATATCATCTTTGACTATACAGCATCTCTTCCTCACATCTAAATTAAGCTTTAATAACATATTTTTAAATGTTTAGATTCTGCTTCCAGCAGTGGAGCTTGCAGTCAACACTAGGTACTTTAACAAAATATAATCTATCATTTTTGTTAGAAACTTAATTTTCTTTATAAAAAAATTCTTAATAGCGATGTTTAAGTCAATTATTACTTAGACTTTTTTTAATAAAAATTATCAAAATTTCGCCTTAATTTTAAAATCATAAATGTTGTAATTTCCCCGATTAAAATGGGATAAATTGTCAAAAGCTTACTGTTTTGTAAAATCAGAGAGTTTCTGTCCAGAAATGATTCTCACGTTAAAAGATAGAAATATCAAGCAATTATTCATATGCATCTTTAGTTTGGATATAATTGAACCTAAATATCTTTAGTTTGTATATAATTGAACCTGAATATCTTTAGTTTGGATATAATTGAACCTGAATATCTTTAGTTTGTATATAATTGAACCTGAATATCTATAGTTTGGATATGATTGAACCTGAATATCTTTAGTTTGTATATAATTGAACCTGAATATCTTTAGTTTGTATATAATTGAACCTGAATATCTTTAGTTTGTATATAATTGAACCTGAATATCTTTAGTTTGGATATAATTGAACCTGAATATCTATAATTTGGATATAATTGAACCTGAATATCTTTAGTTTGGATATAATTGAACCTGAATATCTATAGTTTGTATATCAATTGAACCTGAATATCTTTAGTTTGGAACCAATTGAACCTGAATATCTTTAGTTTGTATATAATTGAACCTGAATATCTTTAGTTTGGATATAATTGAACCTGAATGGACTATTCCTCTTCTAAAGCTAATCTTATTCGGACAAAATAAAGGTAAGATTAGTTATTTTAGCTATTTTTGATCTGATGAGATCATTCTTGTTTTCATTACTTTTTATAATGAAACTTCATTCATGGATTTCAATGGGCCATTACATTTTCAAAATTGTAAATTTCAGATCAAGTTCATTTATCCTAGATAAGTTTGATGGAGAGCTGCGGGAATTATACATGCAGTTGTACATAGAAGAATTGTTTTTTAGTAAACAGTTTAAAGAGCTTGTTCAGGTAATTGTGTGTACTGTGTACTGTGTACTTTATTACTTGATTTTACAAAAATTTATCAATTCCGCCAAAACATCAAAAATACTGATCAGGCTGGAAATCAACTTATCAAGTGAAATGGGTCTGCATACTGCACACTGTACAATATACTTTGCAAAATTGTGTTGTAATCTATAACGGATTAGGAATACCTTAGGATTCACGCATATATATATATATAGATATATATATATAGAACATGCTGTCAGCGCTCTATATAATGAATCAAAGCAAAAGGGAACGGGAGTGCACAAAGAACCTTACTAGTAGAAAGACATATAATATCAATATAATCTTCTACCTTAGGTCAAGTGCAGCTCCCAACTCTTACCGATTCATAACTCAGACTATTAATATAATATAGCCTGATAAATATATTTAACTCTGAATAGCTAGTTATAGATATCTATCTTAGTATAGACAGGCAAGGATATATAATTCTGCATAGCTAAACCCAATACATAGCTCTGCAAAGCTAATAGCTCCACAAAGTCAATAGCTCCGTAAAGCTAGATAAGATAGCTCCGTAACGCTAAGCAAGACCAATAGCTTAGTAAAGTTATATATAAAGATAAATAATTCTTGATTGATTATGAGTATATTAATAGCTAAGTAATTAACAATACCGCAAAGGGTTACTAAAAGCAATAATGGAGATTACGACAACCCTACCCCCAGGGGGTGGTGACCATGAAGATGTGCTTGAGAGACCTGTAGATGAAGGAGGGAATGATCTGGATAGGAGAGGGCCAGGAGGAGGTGACCCCCAGACGGGGGATACTTATGTAGATCCCCCCGACCCGGAGGATAAGCCTGAGGATGCAGACGAGGACGACCTCCTATGGATGAGACTGGGCCTTCAACCAGACAGAGGCCGGATAGATGTAGTTATAAGTAACTGGAGAAGGATCGAGGGTCAGATAGATGTTGGCTGGCAGAGCCTACATCAATTAATTGTAGATGCATCTCAGGGGCATAGGAGGATATCTAGGGAGGAACGCTATCTGAGGATGGAGTTGGAACTGTTGACCGACATGTCCTTGCTGATGCTGAGAAGGGCGGAGCTCCTGCTGTCGTTTGAGACCGAGGTGGATCCGAATGCTGAATACTAATCTCCTAATATAAATATACAATTATTACAATTATTGAATTAATAAATATGAACTAAGAGAGTTACGTATTGCGTTAAAATTCTGCTGTAGACCGAATCAAACTCGGGGTTTACAACAATTGCTGTGTTTCATGTTCATTAGATTATTCAAAATTCTGACTTTTACGTCGTCTTCCTGATCCACACTTTATTGGTTCCATTGTTTTTGTTTTATTCATTTTTGTTCATATTAAAGTTCATTAAAAATTTTAAATTCAGGACCAGTCATTTGAAATTCGTCCTTAGGCCTTTTTAACAGCTTTTGATCTTTTAACAAAGCATACCAAATCAGTTAGTTAATTATGCAAAGTGTTGAAAATAATTTGATTCAATTAAAAATTTTTCTTTTGTTTTTAGAAAGTTGATGACGTCATTGAAGAATTTCCTAAGAAGGAGTTAAATATGAAGGAATATTCATTTTTACTTCACTACAATACTCTTTTCTTCTAATCAATAGTTTCAAATCAATTATGAATTTTATTTATACAAATTTACTTCCATTACTCACCGCCTCCTAATCTGACAGATTGTCCTTTATGTTCAAGGATATAGTGGCGTAGCTTAGTTTTAACGGGGAGAAGAGAGGGGAGACTTAAACATGTACAGCAAAATTAGCAAACATTCGATTTTAAATAGAATTTAAAGATTCGGTTTATGAAAATTATATTCATAATTGTCAATACTATGATGAAAGTGAGATTAACAAAAATTTAAAAGTAATTTAACAGAGCAATTTAGTATTTTGTTCTTAAATATCCAATCTCTCCCAGGAAAGTTTAATGAGTTTCAAACATTTTTATCCTCAACCTTGGGGAAATCTAAACAATCTTTAATTTGGATTAAGCTAGTAAATCTTTCACTTAATTTAACTGATTATCATCCACTTCATTTTACAGTAACTACACTACACTACACTACACTACACAACACTACACTACACTACACTACACTACACTACACTACACTACACTACACTACACTACACTACACTACACTACACTACACTACATTACACTATTCTTCACTACACCACACTACACTACAAAATTAATATATTGTAAACTAAAAATGAATCCTTGATATAGTTCATCAAAGGATTGTCAATGAGGTATTTGGTGAGTTGTTTTTAATACATATTAAATTTCGGAAACTTAATGAAGCGTTAAATGTAAAGAAACTAAATTAGTTCCACAAAATCTAATTTTCAATCCCTATATATTTGCAGCCCGATGTCGCAGACATAGAAATTTTAACTATGACCGATGTCATCGGGTTGCAAAGATATAGTGATTAGAAATTTTGAGTTTGTTGCATGTACAGGAAAGGGAAGAGGATCCTTTGTACTATAGAACTAATGTACAAATGGTGTACAGCTTATATCCAAGACTACCTTCACAGAGAGAATCGTTAAGAGGTTTGTAAAAAATTCTCTTAGTAAATTGCATTTTCCTGGATCCCAAATTCTGTAGCCCACTCCCTAGCATATTCTAAATTCTGTAGCCCCCTCCCTAGCATATTCTAAATTATGTAGCCCCACTCCCTAGCATATTCTAAATTCTGTAGCCCCCTCCCTAGCATATCCTAAATTCTGTAGCCCCCCTCCCTAGCATATTCTAAATTCGGTAGCCCCACTCCCTAGCATATTCTAAATTCTGTAGCCCCCCTCCCTAGCATATTCTAAATTCTGTAGCCCCCTCCCTAGCATATCCTAAATTATGTAGCCCCACTCCCTAGCATATTCTAAATTCTGTAGCCCCCTCCCTAGCATATTCTAAATTCTGAAGCCCCACACCCTAGCATATTCTAAATTCTGTAGCCCCACTCCCTAGCATATTCTAAATTCTGTAGCCCCACTCCCTAGCATATTCTAAATTCTGTAGCCCCCCTCCCTACATATTCTAAATTCTGTAGCCCCCCTCCCCAGCAAATCCTAGCTTCGACGCACGGCCCAGGCACTGTGTTAACCCGGCCTAACCTAAGATATTAAAAAGACCTTTTCTACAAATGATGTGACGGGTCCAGTATTTCCGTGCAAGGATAGGGTCTATCAAATCAAATTGATATTGTGATTTAGAGCAGATAAAACGCTTGGAAGGTCGTCTTCGTAAATCTGGAGAGATGGATTTATTAAACCTGATGTGGGAGATGGGTGTAGATATTACATTATATCCTTCAAGGTATACTATTAAAGGGACTAGAGGCGAAATTTCACGATGACCTCCATTCTTAGATTGCAATACCCGATTCACAGCGGTACACGTCACGTCAAACTAAAGTAAAATTCACGCAAGATTGAAATCTTATATTTTTATAAAAACTCCTATTATGAAGAGCTATTGAGTAGAGTAAAAATGTTATGAATTTATAATATGTAAGTAAACAAATAAATTGTTTTTGTTTACACTTGTGCGTAAAATCAGAACTAGAGGAGCAACGGAGTCACAAAGTCGTCACAGTAATGTCAATTGAATTTGACCTTATCCTCCTGATTAGTTTGCAGTGGTTTGAACCTTTATCTGATATTATCTTCTCTTACCTTGTGAATCGGGCATTGTCATTGTTGGATGATGTCCTCCCCCTCTGTCAAAAGAAAGCGCAACGTTTTATTTAACCTATATTCAGTACTTTAAAAAAAATCTTAAAATCATATTTTCAAAATAGTTATAAATTTTCAAAATAAATAACAATTTAAAATAAAATTATTTTTACTTTTGAAAACAAATTTTAACTGTGTATTTCAAAATAACCATAACCGATTTCCTAACTGCTCACAAAATGTTTTCGAATTCATCAAATAATTGATAAATGACTTTACCTAGATACCAACGTACATCACTCCATATTCAGCATCTACAGGTTTACCCGGTCTGGCAATTAGAGATGATAGAGAAGAAAGAATACAAGGGAAACAATCATAAACATTTATTGATCAATCAATAAACTACACAACTACGCAATCAATTAATCAACTACAAAATCAATTAATCAACTACAAAATCAATTAATCAACTACAAAATCAATTAATCAACTACAAAATCAATTAATCAACTGAAAAATCAATTGATCAACTACACAATCAATTAATCAACTATAAAATCAATTAATTGATCAAAAAGTCAAATAATTACTTAATCAGTCATAAATTTGACTTTTACTTTTAATGGATTTTTTTTTTTAATTCGTTCATCCAATAAAAGACTCATATATTTGTGATATACCAACTTAACAAGATTTTTTTATTTTATGTTTAGATTTTTGGATTTCTATTTACTTTAAAAATGATCAAACAAAAAATATAAAAAATCTTAAGATTAACATTTTTATGATTTTTCTGCAAAGGACCGCATTGAAGGGATACAGAAAAATTGGGAAGAGGTATTTATTTTAATTTTTTAGTTAAATTTATCTTTAAAAAATTTAAAAACAACTTTTAAGATAAGGAATGAAGCTTTAACTTTGCTGCAGCACTCTGAATTGAACAAAACAAGGTAAAATTAGTTTTATTTTTTTTTCTTCATTAAATTTAAAATTTCTGCATAAAAAATAAATACTAAAAACTTGTTTTAAGAGTTGAACCAGAGTACGATATTTACAGTAAAACTGAACAGGTAAGGATATAGATTGTATTCTCTGGACCTCACCTCTCTGCCTTCCCACCCTCGCTTATATAGTTTATATAGATTGTATTCTCTGGACCTCACCTCTCTTCCTTCCCACCCTCGCTTATATAGTTTATATAGATTGTATTCTCTGGACCTCACCTCTCTTCCTTCCCACCCTCGCTTTGTGCTGCAGCCCCTATAACCTGTTCACTATTAAAGGTACATACTTCTGTTTTTAAAAAAACCTAATTTTTTACAATTTGATATATTTTTACAATTTAAAATTTTGCAGAAATTTCCTGAAGCTGCTGATTGCGCTTATGGTAAGAATGGAGAAATGTCTTCTTCTCTTTGAGAAGGGGCAACTATACAATTCGAAGTCTACAGTATATATATACAACTGATTACAAGTGATTAATGTAGGATACATCATGATTACTTTAGGATATATAATGATTAATTCATGATATATAATATACAATGATAACTTTAGGATATATGATGATTGATTACTGAAGAATATCTAATGATTCCTGTAGAATATATAAAGATTACAGTAAGTTATATAATGATTACTGTAGGATATATGATGATTTCTGTAGAATATATAATGATTCCTGTAGGATATATGATGAGAACTGTAGGATATGTAATAATTACTCTTGATTACTCAAGGATATATAATGATTACTTTAGGATATGTAATTATTACTCTACGATATATAATGATTACTCAAGGATATATAATGATAACTGTAGGATATATGATGATTTCTGTAGAATACATAATGATTCGTGTAGGATATATAATGATTACTCTAGGATATGTAATGATTACTCTACGATATATAATGATTACTCAAGGATATGTAATGATTACTCAAGGATATATAATGATTACTTTAGGATATGTAATGATTACTCTACGATATATAATGATTACTCAAGGATATATAATGATTACTGTAGGATATATAATTATTTCTGTAGGATATATTATGATAACTGTAGGATATATAATGATTAGTGTGGGATAAGTAATGATTAGTGTAGGATAAGTAATGATTACTGCAGGGTATATAATGATTACTGTAGGATATATAATGATTACCGTATTGGAACCTGGAGCTGTAATCTATCCTCATGGTGACAAAACCAATACAAAACTCAGGTCTAATAGATGCTTTAATTATTTTTGAAAAAAAACATTTCTTATTATTTTTTTTTCTTCAATTTTATGATAAACCAATCCATAAAATATCAATGTACTTTTAATAAATGAATTTAATTAGTCTATAGACCAAAAAAAATATGGTTTTTTAAATAATCTTTAAAAAAGTCAAATAAAAATAAATTTAAAATTATGTTAAAATTTAGAGTACATTTAACCCTGGATGCTGCGGATCTAAGTTTTTTTGAGAACAATCCTCAGTTGCCTGCTGCAGGGGTAACGTTTTTTACATGAATAAAATCATTTAATAATATATTTTTTTCTAATTTTTTCTCAAAATATATTTTTCAGCTTCTTTTGGCACAGAGAGAAGTTATAGGTAACCAACTTTATGATTTTACAATTACTTTATGGTTTTTTTTACTTAAAGTTTTGAAGAAAAAAAAACATTTAACGGTTAGTGTACATTTTTAATACTTTGAAAAACATAAGTAAGTATAAACTATCGTCAAATCTTCTCATTACAAAAATTAAACTATTTCAGGAGATGTTTTAAGAATTTGCAAATTATTTTTAGGATGGGAGACAGGGAAGCTTGCAATCTTTGATCCAAGTTTTGAACATCAGGTTCAGAATAATAGTAACAATAGCAAATTCAAAAATTATACCGATAATAGTAGCTTTAAAGTTTTAACTAGACATGAATTTGCATAAAATAAAAAAAAAAGAAATATAAAGATGAAACCACCACATTTAAGCAAAATTTTTTTTTAAATAACAAAAATCCGTATTAGGTTTTTTTTTATTTAGGATGCAACTTAAGATTTATTACCGATACATTATAGCTTGTCTATTAAAATATAAGGCAATTAAGCGCTAATTTCTTTCTTGTCTTTGCTCTAGAAATTAAGGAGCAGCTTTCCTTGCAGTGACCGTGCAAATTATCAATTTCTTCAAAATTTATTAATATAGCCCGGGAACCCAGCTTTGCCTGGAATTAAAGTCACCCCACTCGACTTGAAACTTTTAAATAAAAATCTAAATTAGAATAAAATCGGTTATGATCGGACAAACAAACATAAAAACATGTATTACTACTTTATGTATAATCCTTAGATAAATGAATTGTCATAAAAAGATTTATTTCAGTTTAATTAATTTCCAGATGTGGAATCAAGGAGACCAGAGGGTTGTAATTCTAAGCTTTGATGTAGATCATCCTGAACTAGGAGTTAATATGGTCAGTCATTTTCATTAAATAACCTTACTCGTACCAGCCTGTCTAGTACCCAATATATGGTTGACCCAAGAAAATCAGGCGGACTAAACCTATGTGACAGTTAATTCCAATATTGTAATGCTATCTTATGTTTCTGTAAAGAGAAATTACCTAAAGCTGTAACCCCCAGCAAATAAAAAATCCCATGTGCACTCTCCACTAAACCACACTATTCCTTCTCTTAGAGTTCTGCAGTACATTTCAGTACGTACAGAAAGCTTAGTTTAGAATGCTTTGTTTACTTGCAGAGCAATAATTTATTTGGTTTGGTTTGAAGAATTTGTACCTTCAATTCAATATATCGCTGTAAAATGTACCGTAAATTGTAAGTGCACCCAAAACTAAGCTTGCATGTGCGTACTGTAGTGCTTTAGTTTTAGTTTCTTAATATTCTCCATTTTTTAAATCTCTTAAATCAAAATCTACACAAATGCTAAGACCCCAAAAAGGAAATTTGAGAGTTTTGTTCAACGATATTCTTTTAAATTTCGGGCTCAGTGGGTTCTAGTTAACGAAAATATTAAAGTACACCACTCTCATGTTTGGCAAACACTCCCTTTAATTACTAAAACAATGTTTTAGAGAAAGAAGCTGAGAGGAGTCTTTGACGGGAAAACACAAGAAGAAGATTTAGGAATATCGATTTTGAGGGTAAAAAATGTGAACATTAAATTGTGTTTGTTTTGTAAAAATTTGAAAATATCTAAAATACATTTTCTCTACCTGAAACTACAGGCTTAAAAGTACCAAGGGTTTATTAAAAACTCTTTGTATAAAAGCTAAAAGTACCTATTTTCAAGAACAAAAGAATTGATTACTTGCCTCAAATTCAATTTCTAACCCTTGAATGGACCCGAACCATATTTTCTATACATGTGAAGTCTAATTATCAAAATTTCAAATATCAATAATTCTTATCATCATGTTGCAATACAATATTTGAAATATCAATGACTCCCATCATCATGTTGCAATACAATATTTGAAATATCAATGGTTCTCATCGTCATGTTGCAATACAATGATTGAAATATCAATAGTTCTCATCATCATGTTGCAATAGAATATTTGAAATTTCAATGGTTCTCATCTTCATGTTGCAATACAATGATTGAAATATCAATAGTTCTCATCATCATGTTGCAATAGAATATTTGAAATTTCAATGGTTCTCATCATCATGTTGCAATGCTTTTTTATTTTTTTTATTTTTCAATAAAAAACCACGCATACAATTGTCCATCTATATGTTTTAATGACATATAATGATTTGTAGCACCAGGGCAAATGAATATGAATAAGAATATATGAATGGCCGTTTAATGATTGGTCCTAGACTTAATGCAATAGAGAGACAATCAACCAGGAGGTTTAGAGTTTGAGGCAAGATATCAGTTTTATAAAAACATAAATTTTTAGGTCCCTGAAGATCTGAGGATTACCACGCGGTATATTTATGATCAGTTTGAAACCAATGAATCGGAAGGCAAGCAATCAAAAAGCAACCAATCAGAAAGCAACCAATCAGAAAGCAACCAATCAGAAAACAACCAATCAGAAAGCAACCAATCAGAAAGCAACCAATCAGAAAGCAAGCCATCAGAAAGCAAGCAATCAGAAGCCAACCAATCAGAAAGCAAGCAATCAGAAGCCAACCAATCAGAAAGCAAGCAATCAGAAAGCAATTAAGAGAAAGGAGAAACATTTTAAAACATTCGTAAATAATTATATAGTTCAATAAACTCTTTTTATCTAAAATGAAAATCCCTTAGAAATGTAAACAGCGGTGTCTTTGACCCGATCCCATGTGGCTATTTCCGATCCCATGGGCCTATTTCCGATCCCATGATGCCATTTCCGATCCCCTGGGGCTATTTCCGATCCCATGGGCCTATTCCCGATCCCATGATGCTATTTCCGATCCTATGGGGCTATTTCCGATCTCATGGGGCTATTTCCGATCCCATGGGGCTATTTCCGATCTCATGGGGCTATTTCCGATCCCATGGAACTATTTCCGATCCCATGGGGCTATTTCCGATCTCATGGAGCTATTTCCGATCCCATAGGGCTATTTCCGATCCTATGGGGCTATTTTCGATCCCATGGGCCTATTTCCGATCCCATGATGCTATTTCCGATCCTATGGGGCTTTTTCTGATCCCATGGGACTATTTCCGATCCCATGGGGCTTTTTCCGATCCAATGGGGCTATTTCTGATCTCATGGGGCTATTTCCGATCCCATGGGGCTATTTCCGATCTCATGGGGCTATTTCCGATCCCATGGGGCTATTTCCGATCTCAAGGGGCTATTTCCGATCCCATGGGACTATTTCCGATGCCATGGGGCTATTTCCGATCTCATGGGGCTATTTCCGATCCCATGGGGCTTTTTCCGATCTCATGGGGCTATTTACGATCCCATGGGGACTATTTTCGATCTCATGGGGCTATTTCCGATCCCATGGGGCTATTTCCGATCCCATGGGGCTATTTCCGATCCCACGGGGCTATTTCCGAACTAGCTGGAGTGCCCGGTGTTGCCCGTGAAATCAAAAAAGAATTTCGAATTTAAAGGAAATTGATTTTTAACAAAATTATTCAAAAATCGAAATTTTTAGCCTATGGGTACCCTACCCACAGCTGTCCAGGGCTTTATTATACAGACGAAAAAGCGAAGATTTCCAAAACAAAATATGGGATCTTTACAATTGCCCTGTAAACTTCACCGTTTTCTAAATCTCAAGGAGAGAAGTGGTAATTGCTTTGGAAATCTTATGCCCGGCTGAGCCAAATTTCTCAAATTGTTTAACTTTTCAAATTTGCAATTTGTGATAGGATATGACAAGGTTACATAAATTTATCTAAAAATAATGAAGATCATGAAATTATGTATTTATTATAAACATTTAAACAAAAATAAAACTGTGCATGGATTTAACGATACAAAATAAAATAACATTTGATTGATGATGTTGTATTTTTTAACAATACATACATAAAAAATCCAAGATAATTATTGATTGAATGATGAATACAAATCTGTATCTTGTACACTGTATTTTGTACACTGTATTGTGTACACTGTATATTGTACATTGTATTGTGTACATTGTATTGTGTACACTGTATTGTGTACACTGCATTTTGTACACTGTATTTTGTACACTGTATTGTGTATACTGTATTATGTACACTGAATTGTGTACACTGTATATTGTACATTGTATTGTGTACACTGTATTTTGTACACTGTATTGTGTACACTGTATTGTGTACACTGTATCTTGTACACTGTATTGTGTACACTAGTTCTTGTACACTAAAGCTTGTACACAATACATTTATTACATTACATGCATTCTTGGCTGAATACAAAAATACTTAAATGACGAGTGTTCGTTGGTACATGATAAACAATTGTGTACACTGGTTGTGTACATGATAAACAATTGTGACTATATGATTAGGTTTGGAAAACAGAGAAAATAACTTCTAGCTGAAAGACGACATTTATTTAACTAGAAGAAAAAAAAGATAAATTCGACTGCTTACAATTTATCAAGCTCAGAAATTTCAAGACGTTGAATTTTTCGTAACTTTAGAAACGTATATATTGTATTTATGTACACTGTACAAAAAGTCATTTTAAGTCAGACTAGAAAATGAAAGTCTTATTTAAGAATCAAAGACTCTGCAGGAAATCGAGTAATAACTATAAAAACCTTCTGAAGCTGAAGAGTTCTTCATAATTTTACATATTTTACAAAACGCATTTTTTAAAATGACTTATTTTATGTCTTAAAACTAGTCAGTTCTGCTGAAGTCTAAACTAGTTCTTCCTTTAGTCATTAAATTCGACCTCTGATAATATGGTAGAAATAACAATATCTAAAATAAAAATTTCTTAAATATTTTTATGAGCAACATAAACTATTTATTGCTGATGAACAGTTTAATTTGCTCATGAAAAATTTGTTTATGCTCATGAACAGTTTTTAATTGCTTGTTAAAAATGTTCTAATTTTGTAAATGTTATTGTTTTTTATACTTATTGTTTATGTTAGTTATTGTTTCTACATATTGTTATTGCTTAGTGAATGTGTACACAAATTACTTGTTATTTACAAATATGTTTAACTACTAAAAATCCTTTTTCAAGTAAAAACGATTTCTTTTTTATTTACAAACAGTTTAAAATTGATTTGTATTTTGTATGGTTCAGCTTAAGCACTTTTTTCATTGACGTATAGTTAAGCTTATATTCTTGAATATATTTCTATATGTTGTTAAATAAATGGATTAAATGAAAAGTGATGGATGAATGGTTTGAAAATGAAGTCCTGCTGCAGTTAATTCAGTGTTCTAGCTTGAGTATGATTCCTGATTAAAATAAACATTTGTTTTAAAGTTTTTTTTGCGTTATTATTTTAATATTATTTTTTCATTTTTTATCTCGTTCAACAAAATGTTTGTTTTCCCTGTAATCATGGATTAGAAAGGTGGCAGACAAGGGTTCATGATCACTTACAGAGATAATTCGTCCATCAGCAGCCCTAGATAGATACATAGATACATAGATAGATAGATAGATAGATAGATAGATAGATAGATAGATAGATAGATAGATAGATAGATAGATAGATAGATAGATAGATAGATAGATAGATACAATTAAACCCTAAATAAGCCATACATCGGAAGAATTCTGATGATGGAATGTTGCAGATATTTAGTTTTTTTAATTAAATAATTATATGGAGATATTTAAAAACGACTCACATCGAAGAAATATCAAATTTCAACTATTTACGAATGTGTCGAAAAATAATCAACGACTATTGTTTGTAATATCTGAATAATTTGTTTGGAATTAAATTGATTTGTTTACGATCCGAGTTGAATGTTGCATCTTTCTGAATTTGTATGGGCACTACGTTTTTCGGTATTGGTCGTTTTTAACAATTTTCTCCTTGAAAACTAATTGAAACCTAATTGAAAACTAAATGAATTCTAATTGCATACTATTGAATACTAATTGAAAACTAATTGAAAACTAATTGAAAACTAAATGAATTCTAATTGAATACTATTGAATACAAATCGAAAACTAATTGAAAACTTATTGAAAACTAAATGAATTCTAATTGAAAACTAATTAAAAACTAATTGAAAACTAAATCAATGCTAATTGAATAATAATTGAATACTAATCGAAAACTTATTGAATGCTAATTTAATACTAAATAAATGCTAATTGAATACTAATTAAAAACTATTTGAAAACTAATTGAAAACTAAATGAATGCTAATTAAATACTAATTGAAAGCTAAATGAATTCTAATTCAAAACTAATTAGCTAGGGAAGTGTTCTTGGGCCCCTACTTTTTCTCATATACATAAACGATTTGCCTTTATCTGACCATTTACCCGTATTTTCATTGTCTAAATGTACACAACACGAAGATAATATTGGTAGCAAACCAGTTCTAATTAGAAACACTTCAATCGAAAATAAAACCAAGTTCAAGGAAAAACTGTTACTCAATGACTGGACTCATGTTATGATAAATGAAGATCCTTCTACAGCCTTTTCTGAATTTTCTAACACCTTAAATAATATTTATGAAGAAAGCTTTCCATTTAGCAAATATAAGCCAAACAAAAATAAAAATTCTGTTAACCCTTGGTTTACGTCCTTCTTGCTAGTGTCAAGAAAACAAAAAGAAAAATTATTTAAGAAAAAAATCCTGAATCCAACTAAAATAAATATAGAAACTTTTAGAAAATATAATTCTGTTTATCGTACAACAATAAAAAAGGCCAAAATTAGTTATTTTTCTTCAAAATTTACAGAATACTCAAAAGACATCAAAAAGACCTGGTCTTTACTGAACTCTATTATATCTTCTAAGGAAAAAAGTCATTCAGTTCCTGAAATTTTCACTGATGATAAAAAAAGTTTTTGTGGGATCTGCTGAAATAGCAGAGGGTTTTAATGACTTTTTTGTGAACGTTGGACCCAGATTGTCTAGTCATATTCCGGATTCTAATGTCAATTTTGAAACATATCTGAAGGAGCCATCCAAGGAAAATTTTGTGTTTGCAAATATTACACCAGAAATTATTCCTGAAACAGTGAGTAAACTTAAACCTAAAAACAGTTCAGGAAAGGACAATATTTCTACCAAGCTACTGAAGGAAATAATTGAAAGTATTGTCTATCCAATAGCGCATTTGTTTAACCTTTCTTTTAAAACAGGATATATCCCTAGTGATTATAAATGTGCAAAAATAATTCCTATCTTTAAAACTGAACAAAAAAATAAATTTAATAACTACAGACCAATTAGTATTCTACCAGCGCTAAGTAAACTTCTTGAAAAAATAGCTGCGACTCAAATGTTTAAATATCTTAACAAGTTTGAGATTTTCTATCAACATCAATATGGATTTAGACCACAACATAATACTAATCAACCNAAACTACATAGTAAATTGTGATTTTTTATTTGTATTATCTTGTGCTTTGGAGTTGAATAAAATATGAATAAATATGAATGAATTGAAAACTAATTGAAAACTAATCGAAAACTAATTGAATACTAATTGATTGATTAAAGTTTACAATATTATGTATTCCGAGCCAGATCAATTTCTCATTTTAGAAATATCAGATTGAAGTAAAATTGGAATCAATCGAATTCAATAGAAATACCTGGTTAACATTATCGGCATAGTAAACTCAACAGTTTTCATTGATATACTGTCAATACTCCTACACCAATAATAATAATGATAATAATAATAATGATAATTAATAATAATAAAAATAGTAATAATAATAATAATAATAATATTAATAGTAATAATAAAAAGCGTAAGAATGATAATAATGTAATAGAAATAAATAAATGATAATATTTTTTTTGACAGATAAAAAAAAGTGAATTTGGAACTTTTTCATTCTGATTTCATTTCAAACAAAATCTTGTTTCAAATGTTATGACCTGACCTATACATGAGGTAGTCTATTCTCTCCGGTTTATAATGCCTAGATCAATCATTAATTAGTTTTTATTAGTTAAAAGATTTAATTAAAGTTTTGATAACAAAATTATGATGAATGCCCATTTGTAATTTCATAAATCATTCATTAATTAAAATATTTTTGAGTTCATTTGATAGGTTTAATTCACATCTATAAATCTTATAATCTTTATATGAAGGTTGTTAAAGTTAACATGACATGCGGTTATATTCGTTATATGTTCTTAAATTGTTTAATGATTTTTCTTACAAAATTGCATTATGAACGAACGTTTTGTTTTAAATTGATTAGATTTAAAATATCAAAATAAAAATTAATAATTCAAAAATATGAAACTAAAATGTGTGATTAACTACAGGGTTTCCCACGAAACATGACAATAGCAAGACGACTTGAAATTCGTCTTTGATATTTGAATTTATTTGTGACGTTTAGTCTTCTATCTACTTAAACATGTATGATTCTTGAAACAATTATCACATAATTCTCCTAGCCCTGGCATTTCCAAAAAGTGGTCTGCGTTTTTTGTGCTTTCAATATTACCGGAGATATAAAGAGTTTGGTTCAGATTTCAATTTTGTTAAATAAAAGCAAAATTGTCGAAATCTGAACGAAATTCTTCATATCTCGGGCAATATTGAAAGCACAAAAAAGGCAGACCACATTTTGGAAATGGCAGGACTAGGGGTATTTTGTGATTATTGTCTCTAGAAATTTCCTTCTAAAATTAGGTTGACAAATAAACGCAGCAAATTATATCAAAAATCAAGACGACATTCAAGTCGTCTTGCATACTGTCATGTTTCGTGGGACACCCTGTACCAAAACTAAGTAGCATGGTGTAGTTAATAAGTATTTAAAAAATATATTAATATATATTTATATGCATGCAAACAGATCCTTGATTATAATAAATGCATTTTCAAGATTAAAAACTTATTTAAAAGCTTATGTTATAAATATTAAGATGGGAGATCTCTAATTAATAAAAATGAAAGATCTCTTATTAATAAAAATGTAATATCTCTAATTAATGAACGAATTAATGATTTATTTAAAGAATTAATAAATTAATTACTTTATTATTTAATGATTAATTAATTAGTAAGTAATTTAAGTAATTTATGTAATTTATGTATTTATTGATTCATAATAAAGAAATAAATCAAGGAATTAATGAACTACTGAATTAATGAATTGATGAATTAATAAATAAATTAAGAAATTAATGAATAAATTTAATTAATAAAAACCATAAAATAATTACTTAAGGAATCAATTAATTTTTAAATGAAAATCTAATAAATTAATGAATTAATGAATTTGGGAATCAATGAAATAACAACTTAACAAGTCAATGAATCGATGAATTATTGAATCAAATAATGTATAAATGAATTAGTTAATGAGTAATGAATAAAAAAGGAAATGAATAAATAAATTAATAAATCTATGAATCGATGAATCATAAATCAATAAATGAATGAAATGATGTCTGAATGAATGAATTAATGAATGTCACCTTGTGTAAGTGTTCTCTGAGTTTCCAAATGTAGCGAAGAGGGGATGGAAGGAGGAACCTGGATACTTATCCACCATAGCATCCTTCAGAACAGTTCTAGATAGATAGATAGATAAATATATAGATAGATAGATAGATAGATAGATAGATAAATAGATAGATAAATAGATAGATAAATAGATAGATAGATAGATAGATAGATAGATATATAGATAGACAGATAGATAGATAGATAGATAGATAGATAGATAGATAGATAGATAGATAGATAGATAGATAGATAGATAGATAGATAGATAATTAAAGATGAAATTTGTCCATCAACTTGTGAACTACATATAACAAGCAGCTAAAAAATGGGTCTCTAATTACCCCTCTTTTTTAGCTGTTTTACACCGCAAACTCTTAAACATTCCATAAATAAATTAGCCTATGGAAATGTTCAAAATTTGATGTTACAAAAGATATAATGAAGGGTCATAAAACTTACCTTTAAATAATTTGTCAAGCACATTATTATCAAAAATTGTTTGTAATCAAACCATACTATACTGTCGACATAGTGAGATCCAGAAAACAGTGGACTTCTAGTTTACTCATATTTTTTATGAAATTAAATGTTAGATATGATTTTAAACTATTTAAAAAAAACCGTAGCGACATTTCTTAAGTACAGGGGGGGAAAAGAACAACGAAATTCATTCCATAGCTCTTTGGTTCTTACTTCTTGAAGATATATAGTATGCATTGAGTGACAAAGCACATTTGCAGACACATTGAGAACTCATACTAGAGTGACATACATCCATACATACAAACAATATAGATTTCAATGAAAAAGTCTATTTGTGTTATAGCCCCTAATAAAATTCATGAGCACTCTCTTTAATGTTGTAAATATTGTAAATACGTATTGTTGTGAATAAATATTGAATACAATAGAAAATCACAAACCTTAGCATACCATACGGTTGATGCATGTTGTCAATAGGAGTAGCGTTGATATCTCCACCAAATAGGGTTATATCAGCATCTACAGACATATAATATATTTGCTTGGAAACCCTGCTTTTCACTGGAAACTTAAATTTCTCGATAAAAGTCATTAACATACAAAATTCCAATTTCTGGAACTCAGTCAAGAACATTCCCGATCATAACTCATGAACCCTAGACCAATTTTCCTCAAATTTTGATTAGGGAACTCGGGAGAACAACAGGAATTCCTAGATTGGTTTTGAGATTCTAAAATGAATAAAATAGCTGAAATCGTAATTTACGACAAAGAGCGGGTAAACGGCGGGAGTAACTATGAGTTAACGCTGGTTTCCAAGAGATTACAATATATATATTCATCATATTCATCATACATAAAATATTTTCATTCTTAATATATATAATTACACCCCGGAGCGAACCGTTATATACATGTAAATATATTGTGGCAAGTATTCCGGTTTTTAATCAGACATTTTTACACAATTAATAATCTGTACTGTTTGAAACAAATGTTTATTGTTTTAATATAAATTACAAATGTCAGTTTCAATTGTATTATAGTGCAAGATGATAAATTCGTTGGACGGCTGATTAATTGATTGAATCGATTGGATTCCCTGTTCATTTGATTGATCAGTTCAGTGATTGATTAGTTCTTAATTGATTAATTGATTGGCAGCACTTTGATTAGTTGATTGATAATCTTAGACATGATTGATTTATTGATTAGTTGATTGGTTGGTTTAGTAAATGAAGTATTAACGACTAACATACCTGACTTAGAAATTAGATTTACAGTCTCTGTGGCCTAAAAGTTAAGGAACAGATCAATGAATAAATACTAAATAGAATTAAAGAAAACTTATCCAAAGTATTTTGAGACACATTAACAAAATTCAAAATAAAAGTATGATAATGCTTGACTTATTCAATTACTTTTGTACTTGAAACGTGGAAGTCGTGTTTTTTGCCAACTTGTGTGAAAATGCCCGAATGCCCTGTTTAATCAATTAATTTTGATTTTGCTGCAATAACGATTAATATTTAAATTTAAGATAAGAATATAATAGTGTTGACCTGCATATATCGAACTAACTTGTTATCATCCGCCTAGAACATATTTAAATTACAAGATAGATGAAAACCTACTTTTATTTGAGAATATTTAAACATTTACTTGAAAACTTAACAAGAAAGCTGCTACTTCAAAAAATTTAAAGAAAAAATACTATTATGCTACTTTATATACTTAACAAGAAAGCTGCTACTCCAAAAACTTTTAAAAACAAATACTATTATGCTACTTTATATACTTAACAAAAAAAAATTGCTACTTTATAAACTTAACGAGACAACTGTAACTTCATACACTTTACAAGACAACTGTTACTTCATAAACTTTACAAGACAACTGTTACTTCATAAACTTTGCAAAAAAATATTACTTCATAAACTTTACAAGACAACTGTTACTTCATAAACTTTACAAGACAACTGTTACTTCATAAACTTTACAAGAAAACTGTTACTTTATAAAATTAACAAGAAAATTGCTACTTTCTCATTTTATTAGACAACTACTATTTCATAAATTTTAAGAGAAAAATGCTAGTTCATTAACTTTACAATGTAGCTGCTTCTTTTTAATTTTACAAGACAACGACTTTGTAAACTTTTCAAGAAAATTACCACATTAAAAATTAAGAAAAATGCTACTTAAAAGGCAGCTGCTACCTTAAGAAGCTTATAAGATAATATTACCTTAGTATAAGAAACTAGATGAGTTGTGAAGACATCTATAGTTTTGTCTAAATACAGAATGCGAGCTATACCTAGCCCTAAAATAAAAACCATTTGACTTTTTTTCTTTTAATCTAAATTACAAAACACAAAATAAATTATAACTAACCTTTAATATTATAATTTTCTAAAATTGTTTTATTTGGAATGAATTCTATTTAAAATTCTATTTGAAAAATTGGTCATTAATTTGGTTCAATAATACAAGCATATGGTCGAACAATTCCTTACTGTTTGTGCACTGGATTAGCTTGGGGTCTTTTTACCTTATTTATTATTATATTTATAATATGATTGAAATCTATATATACATATTTTCCAACGGATGATTGGGTTAGACCCATATGAAACATTTTGTCTTGGAAGAAATATATATTAAAACATGTAAAAATGTATATTTAAACTGAAAAAGTTGAAAATACTATACATATGTACATATGTTTGGCTTGTTTGCTTCTATCCAATTTTAGTTGAGACATAAAAGATCGAAATGATCAAAAATAAAAGATTTTGGTTCAAGATTATTTGATTTGGAAATCCAACATAACAAAAACAGAAAAATTCGGGAAATTTTAAATTTTTATTCATATAATAAGATTTTGAAAATATAATTAATGTTAAATAAATGTATATTTGATTTTGTTTTATTTTCAATACAAATATTCTTAACTGGGATTTTAGGGCGCGTCGCACCTATCTTTCATTTCAACTTTTAGTTGTGGATCTATCTGTGTACAAAACAAAAAAGAAAGTTCGCAGATTAAATAATATTTTTTCGTGGATTTAAAAAAAAAATTTAACAAGATCAAAAAACAAATTTAGAACACTTTTTGAAATTATAAGCATCCATAAACTTTCCCTTGGGTCATGTGATATACCACACACAATGTGGGCCCAATCGGTTCAGCCGTTTTGATGTTTATTGACAAGCAGACAAACAAACAGACAGACAAGCAAAGTATAAATATAGATAAATATATAAATGTAATTAAGATGATTAATAACCGTTTTGAATATATTTATCAATAAAATTTAACTGTATGCAAATTAACGTTAAAACTTAACAATCTAGAAGTTATTTGACTTTTATTTAAAGATCTCCCATCAGAATTGGAATCAAAACTTGTGAGAAATAGTACTAATCTACTAAACTTCATTTCAATATTGTTAATTTTTAATTTCAAGATAATATGATTGATCCTTATATTCTAGTTATCCCTGCCATGTTTTCCGATAACAGGATATGTACATTTGGTCGACAAAAGATATGGATATAAGCGCTTCATCACGGGATTAATATTACAAAGGTTTTCACCTCAGACATAATTTTTTCAGATAATAATGTGTACTTTGTAGCGGAGCTATTTAATATCGTCTGATCCCGACTATTTAATATCGTCTGATCCCGACTATTTAATATCGTCTGATCCCGACTATTTAATATCGTCTGATCCCGACTATTTTATATCGTCTGATCCCGACTATTTAATATCGTCTGATCCGGACTATTTAATATCGTCTGATCCCGACTATTTAATATCGTCTGATCCCGACTATTTAATATCGGCTGATCCCGACTATTTAATATCGTCTGATCCCGACTATTTAATATCGTCTGATCCCGACTATTTAATATCGTCTGATCCCGACTATTCTAGGTTTTACTTTAAACCAAATCTCACCTTTTCTAACGAATATTTCTCCATCGAATCTCCAAAAATTTCCTCGATGATTAAACGGAATCAATCGAACCTAAATATACAAAATCAATCGAATCTGGTTAACGGAATCAATCGAACCTAAATATGCAAAATCAATCGAACCTGGTTAACGGAATCGATCCAATGTGATAAACGGAATAGATCGAATATGATTAAAGGAATCAATCAAGCCTAATAAACGGATTCAATTGAATATACCATCAAACCTACATATACAAAACCAATCAAGCCTGATAAACGGATTCAATCGAATCTAAATATTCAAAATTAATTGAACCTTGTAGTATAAAAAATTAATTGAACCTTATAAAACGATGCAATCAAGCCTAAATGAATTAAATTAATCGAACATGATTAATTAAATCAATCATTCAACAGAATCATTCGAATCTAATAAATTAAATGTATAAGTTAAAAATGATTAATGCAATCAATCGAATCTGATTATCGGAATCAATCGAACCTGATAAATGGAATCAATCAAATCTGAATAACGGAATCAATATAATCTTATAAACAGAATAAATCTAATCTGATAAACGTAATCAGTTTAATCTGATTGACGGAATCAATATAATCTTATTAACAGAATAAATCTAATCTGATAAGCGTAATCATTTTAATCTGATTGACGGAATCAATATAATCTTATTAACAGAATAAATCTAATCTGATAAGCGTAATCAGTTGAACCTGATTGACGGAATCAATATAATCTTATTAACAGAATAAATCTAATCTGATAAGCGTAATCAGTTTAATCTGATTAACGGAATCAATCAATTTACTTGAAATTACACTTACAGTCCTCTTAAAAATTAAAACTTGTTCTTAAAATAAAATGTATAACAGACTGTGAATCATGAAAACGTACTTTGTGTACATTGACCTTGGATGAGTTTAGCTAGATTATATTTACTCGATTAATAAACAAGTAGTAATGTGTACATTGTACAAAAATACAGTTTAATTGATAGTTGTATCACCGTAACTTAAAAAAAAATTTTTTTTTGCCATTTTATGTTCATGGGAAATTCGAAGAATAAACTGTGTAAATGTAAAAGAGTCCTATGTCAACTTTTGAGATGTAAGAAGAATTTAAAATTCGTGTTAAAATACTCTATATGTATTACGTGGATCCGAATTTTAAACTTAATTTGGCATCATCTGATGATGTTAAGGAATCAACAAACTCTATTTTTGCAATCCCTGTATCTTTGCAACCTGATGTTGTAGTTCTTTGATATTTAAAACTTTGAATTCTGCTATAGATAAAAACTCAAGGTAGAAATATAAAAGAAAATTGGAGTTTTAGGAAAGAGTTAACAGTCGATCACACACAAAGATAATTTTTTTTAATATGACACTAATCACACATTCCCCCCCCCCTTGCCCTGTAGAATTTGTGTATATTAATATACTTACATCCACTATAGGATATTTAGATAAAACAGTTAGCCCTGAGCACCCCAGGGGTAGGATAAAACTAGTACAGCCAGAGTTTATACCTAAAAATATAATTTTATTTATTTTAAAAAAAAACCAACTTATTAGTTTCTTGACGACTGTTAGTTTTTTTCTTTCATTCTTTAGCCTAAAAAGATGTAATTTTCGCATTGAAACGAATTTCTGAATGATCTTCTTTATGAGTTTTATCCTGTGCATATTTTGGATAAAAATGTCTTCGTCTTCGTTATATCCATATTAAGTGTCTATCTAATTTACAAAACTTATATTCAGTGTACAGCGTTAGATACGTAAACATATCGTGATGTATACAACCGACCACTCTTTGAAATCCATGCCAAAATATTAATTTACTGACAACCATGCCGAAATATTAATACATTGACAACAATGCCAAAATACTAATTTATTGACAACCATGCCAAAATATCAATTTATTGACAACCATACCAGAATACTTATTTTATTGACAATTCCATGCCAAAATATTAATTTACTGACAACCATGCCAAAATAGACAAACTTCAAACATGCATAACTTACTTAGTTTCAGTGCTATCTGTCTATTTATCTATCTATCTATCTATCTATCTATCTATCTATCTATCTATCTATCTATCTGTCTATTTATCTATCTATCTGTCTATCGATCTATCTATCTATCTATCTATCAATCTATCTATCTATCTATTCATCCATCTATCTATCTATATATATATATATATCTTTCTATCTATCTATCTATCTATCTATCTATTATAAAAGTAAAACTTACTGTCATACTGTGATACATATGGCATTGTAGCTCTCAGAATATCATAGTCTGCTCTGTACCATAACTCCTGAATTATGCAATTAAATAATTAATTAATTAGTCAAGAATTAATAATTAATTCTTCACCTAATTATGCATGCATTCATTCAAATTAGAACCGTAAAACTACTTGTTGAATGTAAATAATTAGACTTTAATTGAGCTTCGGATCCCTCTATCTCTGTTTCTTTTGTGGATTTCAATAGTTTAGAGAAACAAAATTATTTTGAAGACGACATTCATCACATATTGATTAGCCATTAAAAATAAATAAGATGAATGGGAGAATTTATTAATGAAAAAGATAAACGGAAATAAAGGATGAAAAACAGATTTATGAATGAAAAACAGATTAATGAATGAAAAACAGATTAATGAATGAAAAACAGATTAATGAATGAAAAACAGATCAATGAATGAAAAACAGAGTAATGAATGAAAAACAGATTAATGAATGAAAAACAGATAAATGAATGAAAAACAGATTAATGAATGAAAAACAGATTAATGAATGAAAAACAGATTAATGAATGAAAAACAGATTAATGAATAAAAAACAGATTAATGAATGAAAAACAGATTAATGAATAAAAAACAGATTAATGAATAAAAAGGTTGGGTGAATTTATTATTGAAAAAGAAGGATATCAAAGAAAAATGGCAGTAAATTGATGAATGAAAAAGAAGAAAAATGTTTCTAAAACACTGCACTCTCAGCTCAACTACCATGTCTAGCCGGTCACTCCCTTTAATTAACGGAAAATATGAATGAGTTAATGAATGAAAATTAATGAAAATAATTGGAGAGTTAAATGTAATGAAAGAATTTGACGAATGCAAAATGAAAATAAGAAAAAAGGTAGAATTGATAAATTAATTCAATGGAACGGATGCATAGTTAATTTTAAAAACCTGAAGCATGACTATGTCATAGTTTCCTGCAACAAGCTCTTCTCTTATGGCCATAAATCTAGATATAACAATTTCATTATATTCCTAACAGTTCTTATGTTTTTAAGATACAGTGATACTCATAAAACTATGAAATGGACGACTTTAAAGCAATATGTATTGGAAGCAAATAGTTCTAACAGAACCATGAAATGAACTTATTAAGTGTAATGGGTCAGTACTGCACACTGCACAATTTCTGCGTTTTCAAGTTTACTGAACTGAATCCATGTTATACAGTTTCATTGTAGGAGTTTTGTTCTCAAGGACTTATCTCTTTTTTCCTAGGATTATTGTTATTATCCAAATATTAATCATTATTTAATCATCTTCACCTGAGATCTTTGTCCTCGCCTAGCGGCCAGCCCAGGCCCCACAGGTTCAAGTTTAAAACCTTTAATAGTGTCCCGCCCCCTCCTCCTACTCCTCCTACTTCTAAATACATTTTCTAAGTATATAAAGTAGTAATCTCTGTTTGTTTTTATGTCCAATCAGAAGTCTGGAACCCCTGGCCTCCAATTTTGATCGTTGAACTCGGTAGAACCACGGAAATGTTATTAATCTGGTTCAAAAATTCTTATTGAACGAGTTTGAACTTGCATATACGTTCCTCTAGATTAGACAAAAGTTCAAAAGGGAATCGTTCTGAATCTAACACGCCACGAGCCTCTCTACAAATGCAGAGGTACTTAAAATCACGTCTACAGTTCCTTTAATCAAAAACACTGCCCGTACTTTAAATCTGGAGTCCCGTGTTATCAAGCATTATGATTTATATTCCTAGCTGCCTCTACGATAAATAATATATTGTGTTTAGTTTAAACCTTGGACTCGGCATTGAGATAACAGTTCTGTCATTCTCACAAGATTTAGCTTATCCTTCCTTCAAACACATCTATTCGGACCAAACAGGTCCAAGTGGGACCAAACAGGTCTAAGAAGGGGTCTTAAATATAAAAAGATCTCCTGTACATTCTATATATTTCATTGCATCAAAAATCAAGAATAAAGAATCAAGAATCAAGTATCTAGAGTCAAGAATCAAGTATCAAGAATAAAGAATAGAGAATAAATCAAGAATCAAGAATCAAGAATCAAGAATCATCAATCAAGAATCAAGAATCAAGAATCAAGAATCATCAATCAAGAATCAAGAATCAAGAATCAAGAATCAAGAATCAAGAATCAAGAATCAAGAATCAAGAATCAAGAATCAAGAATCAAGAATCAAGAATCAAGAATCAAGAATCAAGAATCAAGAATCAAGAATCAAGAATCAAGAATCAAGAATCAAGAATCAAGAATCAANACCCCCCCCCCCTGCCATCTGATCAACCGCCCCCCTCTCCTTCTTGTAACAAAGACAATTAGTAATTATAGTATGAACCCCGGAAACCCAGCTAAAATATTTACGGTGTTGCTCTCCTGCAAGGTTTTCTGAGATTGGATATTGGAGAAATACAGGGTGTCCCAGAAAAAAGTTGATCAAGGTTTTTAAAGCCCTTATTTATTTTTCAAAGAATTATGTTTCTATTTAATTCTTGAGGTAGTATTTTTTTAGCAGAAACCCATGTTTTAGTTAAATAAGAGGGGTAAAATCATTTGTATCAATTTATGGAGGTTTACAATTTGATGCAGCCGATGACCTAATCTAATTCTGGTATTTTGACCATCTTTATATCAGATTCTAGATTAGGAACCCAGTATTGCCTGGGAACTAAAGTCAAAGAGAATAGAATATATATTAGAGTGTAATTTAGAAAATTCCTCGGTATCAATTTTGTCAGTCCCTTTCAGCCTGAAAGGGAGTTCAAAGTGTACAAATCATGTAAATGTTCACAAATTATATGCAGTAGAGTACATTAATACAGTATGTTCCCTAGACTATCCATTTCAATTTCGAATTTTTTAAAGCTGTTAAATAAACTTTATAATGAATTAGGTGAATAAAAAACATCATTTGATTTATAGTTATAACGGAAATTCACCGATTGTAAAGTGAAAGGCATAGCGTCTATGTGAAATGATCATTGGTCAATTATGAAATCAGCCTATTTCATAATTTGGTTTTCTTTTAATATTAATTTAAAATTTTCTATAAAATGATGTTCCAGGGCCCAAAAGGTTATATAGCGCAAATATGTGAAGTACACCTGCAGTATGGAAACAGTACAACAAAATGGCCGTTTTACACTTTTTTCTAGTAAATTCCTCTCTAATATATATATATACTATTCTCTTTGACTAAACTGTCTCGAACTTAAAATTGTAAAACCAATTTAAGTAAGTTGCCCAATTAAAATTTGAGGTGAATTGACCAGGAATTATGATCGGACATACAAACAAACACCCAAACAGACAAACAAACAAACAAAGAATATTACTTCACTAGCTTTGCCTAGAAACTAATTTTTCTCTACAATATTCCACCCAATTAACTTTCTTAAAACAAACAAAGCACATTTCCGAGGTTCTAACAAGTCACCCAAACAAACTGTGAGGCAAATCGTTCAAGGGGTATATGAGTTATGATCGGACATACAAACAGACAAACAGAGATTGCAACTTTATAAATCACTAGCTGAAATGTCCAGCGTTGCTCGTGGAATTTTTAAAAAATCGAATATAAAAAAATCGATTTCAAATTTTTTTGAGTCTATGTGATCCCCGGGGTTCCCAGGAGTTTCCTCAAAATTAGCCAATTCGGTTTATCCGTTTTTCCAGCTATAGCTAACATATATACATACACCCACACATACAGACATCCTAATATCCTAATAATAATACATGAGCAAAGAGCTTTATTTTTTTTAGATAGATATAGAAAGGCTTCGGAGCAAAAAACTTTTGAATCAAGACCCCTCGAGACCCTTTCCATTATAAAAAGTTGTTCGATTGGGCAAAAAATTAAGACTTGGATAAATAGGACATTGGATTAAAAATGATATAAAAAATCAGATAATGTTTTGATTTTTACAGTTCTGAAACAAAATATTTCGACTTGTAGTTTCACAGGGTTTTTTTTTCAATTTTAGTTTGTGAATTAGCATAAAAATACCTGGGTAAGGAGCTGAAATGTTTTTCTGCACCAACCATTCTCCTAAAATTGATAACAAAATAAATATTTCTTAACAAATCCTTCATTTATAATGTTTATATTATTTTTTACCATTTTCATGTTACTTCTCTTAAAAATTCATTTTAATCGTCATGAAAATTGGATTTATACGTGGTTTATTGATATATATATATACGACATAGTATAATCAAGCTTGATAAATTTTTGGATGCATAAAATTACATTTGCTAAATCAAATTGCACTGACGCACTGAGCTTGAAGAATTGCAGCGAAACAACAACAAAACCAGAAATATTTGTGCAGCCTTCTCTGAGACATCATGTGTGTAAGTTTACGGATCGTTGGTTCAGGGTTATAGTCAACAAACTTGAAACCATAAAAAGCAACACCTGTCCTAGTGACACACAAGGAAAGTTAATTGCAGTTGCATATACTCTGCGTACATATTGAAACCAGTTCTCTCTGGGCGGAATTTGTAAACAAGAATAGATGCAAGTGTTCGTTTAGTATCCGAGGAGGATAAAAACAATGAATTTTGAAAATTTTGATAATTCACATAATAGTTTCCTATGATCAGAATATTTCATTGATTTTTATGTGAAAGATGGATCCCATGTCCTGCTGTGACATCCGCCTTGTGCTGTGCTTACATTACCGCCCAGATACAGTACACAGTACACTGCAGTAAAAAAGATGCGTGCATCTCTGAAATAACTTTTCTTGCATTATAACCTTGGATTTTTGCATATCTCTTCTTAATGGCTTAGTTCTTCATCTGTTTATTATATGGTGAACCATGTTTATTATATGGTGAACCAGTTCCATTGTTTACTTCTTTTTTTTGTATTGCAAACATTAAACTCTTTTACGTGCTACAAGCGATACAATTCATTATTTACTGCAAGTAGTGTACTCTTTCGCGTACTGCAGTAGTGTAACTCTTTAACGTACTGCAATTAAAGTACCTTATGATACAGTCAAATTAATGTACCAAGTAATTACTGCAAGTAGTGTACCCTGTAACGTACTGCAAGTAGAGTACATTGTAACGTACTTCAAGTAGCTTATACAGTGTAACGTACTGCAAGTAGTGTACAATGTAACGCACTGAAAGTAGTGTACCCTGTAACGTACTGCAAGTAGTGTAACCTGTAACATACAGCAAGTAGCTTACCCTGTAATGTACAGCAAGTAGTGTACCCTGTACTGTACAGCAAGTAGATAACCCTGTAACATACAGCAAGTAGTGTACCCTGTAATGTACAGCAAGTAGTGTACCCTGTACTGTACAGCAAGAAGATAACCCTGTAACGTACAGCAAGTAGTGTATCATGTAATGGACAGCAAGTAGTGTACCCTGTAATGTACAGCGAGAAATGTACCATGTACTGTACAGCAAGTAGTGTATCCTGTAATGTACAGCAAGTAGTGTACCCTGTAATGTACAACAAGAAATGTACCCTGTAACGTAAAGCAAACAGTGTATCCTGTAATGTACAGCAAGTAGTGTACCATGTAACTTACAGCAAGTAGTGTACCCTGTAATGTACAGCAAGAAATGTACCCTGTAACGTACAGTAAATAGTGTATCCTGTAATGTACAGCAAGAAATGTACCCTGTAACGTACAGCAAATAGTGTATACTGTAATGTACAGCAAGTAGTGCACACTGTAACGTACAGCAAGTAGTGTACCCTCTAATGTACAGAAAGAAATGTAACATGCAATGTACAGCAAGTAGTGTATCCTGTAATGTACAGCAATTAATGTACCCTGTAACGTACAGCAAGTAGTGTACCCTGTGATGTACAGCAAGTAGTGTATCCTTTAATGTACAGCAAGTAGTGTACCCTGTAACGTACAGCAAGTAGTGTATCCTGTAATGTACAGCAAGTAGTGTACCCTGTAACGCACAGCAAGTAGTGTACCCTGTAACGTACAGCAAGTAGTGTACCCTGTAATGTACTGCAAGCAGTGTACCATGTAATGTACAGTAAGCAGTGTACCATGTAACGTACAGCAAGTAGTGTACCCTGTATTGTACTGCAAGAAGTGTACCATGTAACGTACAGCAAGTAGTGTAACCTGTAATGTACTGCAAGTAGTGTACCATGTAATGTACAGCAAGTAGTGTACTCTGTAATGTACTGCAAGAAGTGTACCATGTAACATACTGTAAGTAGTGTATACCCACCTTGAGTTTGTTTGTATGTGTCCACTATTAGATTCTCTTTGACTCCAACATCCTAGAATAACAGGGAGATTCTTAACCAAATAGCACCGACGCCGGCTTTCGCCATTTAAAATTGTATTCTTAACCCAATACACGCCAACGTCGTCTTTAACCCAAAAATGAGTCTTAATCAATTGTCTTTGACAATAAAAAGTAAGATATTAAAGTCAAATAGTACCAACGCATACGTAGTCTTAGAACAAATAGATTATCTAAAAATTTGTCCGCTAAACCCCCTATTTTGTTCTAAGAAAAGCTCAATTGTAATAAAATTGTAGATTTCTTGAGCAAACTAATGAGTTAATCCTAATCCACTCTAAATATTACGGCGGATATGTTTCACTTCTTGAACAAAACTAAATTTACCAGGGGGGTTTGATCTTAGCTACCTGTCCGCGTATATTAGCCTCAGTGTACACTTTGGACAGTTTATTGATAAAGGATATTGAGAGATTATGGCCCATTCATACAGTACAAACATCAAATATGCAGTAGGCTTTCGGAGTACAAGTGTATGGGGAGGTTTTGTATTTTGCATTTTATTAAGTTTTCTCAGAACCGTTTATTAACGATGAAATATTTGCTCTGTAAAAGACTGCAATAATACGTCTTCCTGTGAAAATATAATCCTGCACACTAAAAAAATACAAGAAAAAGATATTTGCCAAGACAAACAAAGCCGACATAAAAGTTTAAAAGTTATGCAACAAAGTTGTATAATTTTTACCTGTACAAGTCTGTCTGATTTTATATGCGTGAGATTTGGAACAGTGTGGCGAACCTAGGGAGCGATCAATGATTCAACTTTAAAAAAACATGATTACTTCTATTTAGCAAATGCTGACTGTTTAATCTAAGTTTATCAAAAATGTTAAAAAAAATGACTCAATTTTATCATAAACTTTTTATCCCCCTCTAACACATAAAAAATTTACTTTAAATTTGAATTAAATATTTAGTAACTGTAATTTGTTCAAAACTATGCCCGTGGTAAAAAAATGAGAGTTGTAGAAGTAGGAATCATTTGATTTTTTTACATGCACGACGAGAACAACGAATAAATGCCAATGTTTCTATTTTACATATTTTTTTAGATGAAACAATATTACTAAAAGATAACAAAATAAAATACCAATTAATGGTCTCAAAAATGTTATTCCGATTTCTGATTAAAAAGATTTATCTAATAAATGTTTTTTAAAAAATTTTAAATTATAGGGAATGCAAGCATTATTTTATTCATGTGACACTCCATGCAAATATACCATTGCTTGTTTCACAACGGTACCCTTGAACTATTTATCTGTGGAAGCTATTGTCGTTTTTCTAGGTTTAAATTCTTGTATGTCTTCATGCTCTGGGAAGAAATGCGCAAGCCACTTTCGTAAAAACCCCAAATTGAAAATAGTCAGGTAAACATTGATATAAAATGTATACTTGTTTAAACAAACTTTTAAGGTAACGTTGTGAATCAGTATTTGCAATAAGTCTTTGCATAGTGTCAAATTGTGATCAAAAGTCGACTCAAAGAAGTTCGTAGTAAGATTTCGATTCTACTGGAGACCACCGGAGGGATTTTATTTTCACAGGAGGGGTTTCAAAAAATGGTTTTTACAATTTAAAACTTTACGCACAGTGATTTACATTCCACTGGAGGGATTCAGATGTCCTTCCTGGAGGGTTATAATTCCACTGGAGGGATTCAGTTATCCTTCCTAGGGGTTTATAATTCCACTGGAGGGATTCAGATATCCTTCCTGGGGGTTTATAATTCCACTGGAGGGATTCAGTT